ATTTTACCTCTAACTTCCTGTCACAACTCGCCTCCTTCAAATAAATAATAATGCTCACTCCCACTCACAAAGGAAGCGTTATGAGCAGCTAAAGGTAGAAGAGATTCCAAAGTACGTCCTGCTTAAGGCCCTAAAGAGAAACCCCAAGTATTGTTCATGTCCATCAACACACTTCCCAGGGAGGCAGAACATTAATTAATACATTTATTACTAGATCAACTGCATTTAGTAGTAAACACTGTTACCAACGTCTCCCCACGGGTCCGCTGCACCTTGTAATGGGTGGTGGGACACAGTGGGAAGCAGGCAGCTGGAAGGTGGGGCTCAGACCTAGCAAACGACAAAACAGCCCCCCCACTCTCTGAAGGCTGTGTGAGTGTATACTGTAGTGCAAGCGACACTCAGAGCAGATCTGTTTCTCTTCAGCTCATGAAAAGGGGGACAGGGAGCTGGCACAAATAGAAGAAAAACTTACAGAGTTTAGTTTACAGCACTGGGTGCAACACAGGCTTTTTTTTTTTTTTCGAGACAGGGTTTCTCTGTGGCTTTGGAGCCTGTCCTGGAACTAGCTCTGTAGACCAGGCTGGCCTTGAACTCACAGAGATCCGCCTGCCTTTGCCTCCTGAGTGCTGGGATTAAAGCGTGCGCTACCATCGCCTGGCAAACAGGTTTTGTTAAGTCAGTACAAGAGCTGGAGAGATGGCTCAGGAGTAAAGAGCAACTGCTGCTCTTCCAGAGGACCAGAGTTCGGCTCTCAGCATCCACGGGAGACAGCTCACAACCTCCTGTAACTCCAGCTCCAGGGGGAGCCCTTGCCCTCTTCTGGCCTTAGGGACACCTGTATTCCCATGCGCACACACATAACTTTAAAAACAAACAAAGAGGGCTGGAGAGATGGCTCAGAGGTTAAGAGCATTGCCTGCTCTTCCAAAGGTCCTGAGTTCAGTTCCCAGCAACCACATGGTGGCTAACAACCATCTGTAATGAGGTCTGGTGCCCTCTTCTGGCCAGCAGGCATACACACAGACAGAATATTATATACATAATAAATAAATAAATACTTTAAAAAAAATAAAAAAATAAAAAAAAACAAACAAAGAAACAAATGAATCTAGGCCTAATGGTTCAAGACGTCACAGCAAAAAAGAGGCAGAGGCAAATGAATCCCTGTGAGTTCAAGGCCTGCCTGGTATACATAGAAAATTAAAAAAAAAAAAAAAGCCAGTGCTATATACTGCAAACTATCTCAAAAGAGGGGGGAAAAAGAGTTAGAAAATTACAAAAATGTCTGACACAGAGGGTGCTCAACACCGCTGCTGTTGCAAATGGTTCTCTATGCTTCTTAGTCATCCACGCAGTCTCTTCCCAAAGACAGACAGCCCCATCAGTGAAGACCCTAAGAGAAGCGGCCATAGCTCCCAGCCCCGGGCTCTCAGTTGCAGGGTAGAGAGAGGGTGATTGTGCCAGTGACATCTTCCAGGCCCTTCCCTCTTCCCGATAAGAGGCAGGGCCGATGGAGCCGCCACCGCTGGGCGGCGTCTCGGTCGCACAGAGAGTCTACACAGGCGTGCTGGGGTGGACTGGGTGTCTGTGTGTTGTGTGGGGGTCTGTTTGTTGGTGTGTGTGTGGGGGGGGTCCAGGAACAAACCCTCCCCGCCCCCGCCCCCTGCGATCGCCAAGTGTAGGATTCTGGAAACCATCCACCTAAACACCGTCTCAATCCCCCTCACTCCCCCTAAGTGCGACCAGAAACAGGTTCCGCCCTTTCGGAGAGCGAGAGCAGGCTCCAGCCAGCCGAGCAGCACACGCACCTCTTTTGAGTTTTCTCCGCCATCATCAGACCCGGAACTCAGGATGAGCCGAGATCGACCCTGTTGCCTGGCTAGAGCGATGATCTCTACATCCGATTGCAGAGCCTGGCTCGGCTGGTGGGGCGGGGCCTGAGAGACCGGCTCGCGCTTGCGCACCGCGGATGGTTTGCTTTCGGCCCGAGTGGACTTGGCTTGTTACACTCCAGCAGATGAAATCCACCCGCAGCTCCTGCGGGCTTTTCTCCCGGGAAGTCGTTCTTCACTTGGCAGTGTTTACTCCAAGTCTGATCTAACCCCGGATGCCCTGTCCCTTATCGTTAGCTCGCTCCACCTTTAGTGTCTAGATTCCCGTTCCCAAGCCTCCTCCTCACGCCTTAGCCAGGGCTTTTCTCGTCAAAATTTCTTTTGAGTGTGTGTGTGTGTGTCTAACGCTAGGACCCTTTAATACAGTTCCTCATGTCGTGGTGACCCCCAACCATATAATTATTTTCTTTGCTACTTCATACCTGTAATTTTGCTACTGTTAGGAATCATAGGGTAAATATCTGTGTTTTCCGATGGTCTTTAGGCGACCCGTCATTCGACCTCCCAAAGGGGTTGTAACCCACAGGTCAAGAACTACTGTTCTAATTCTTCAAGTCCCAGATGACGTAGTCAGGATTCATTCTGAGAAACAATCAGCAGAAGATATGAATCATGACAGTTTTGTAAGTAGTTGGTTTCTTCAGGACCTGCTGTGCAAGATCAAAACCTGTACATCAAGCTGGGACTTTACATTTGGATGTCTAAGTTGCTCACCAAAAGTGAGCCCCCCCCCCAACTCCAAACATTGGTGCTGCCCAGAAGAGCTTCAGTTGATTGAATCAGGCCCACCCAGATTACCTGGGAGAATTTGTTTCCTAAAGATAATTTAAATTTAAAGACAATGGGCTTGAATCACACCAAGAAATGCTTTAATGGGGGCCAGGGGTTTGGCTTAGTTGGTAACAGTGTTTGTCTAGCCTGCATGAAGCCCTGAGTTCATTCCCCAGAGTCACAAGGAACTGAGCATGGCAGAACACACCCATAATCCCAGCCCAGGGGGCTCACAAATATTAAGGTCATTTTTGTTTAGTCAGAATTGTGTATTGCTCCTGCCATATTTGAAGGAGCCACGTTGATTTTTATAGGGGTGTTTATCTCCTCTGATTGCTTAGCCTTTTTTTTTTTCTAGTATGGTTGATTTGTTTGATTTTCGAGACAGGGTTTCCTCTCTGTAGCTTTGAAGCCTATCCTGGAACTTGCTCTGTAGACCAGCCTGGGCTCAAACTCACAGAGATCCGCCAGCCTCTGCTTCACAAGTGCTGGGATTAAAGGCGTGTGCCACCACCACCGGGCTGGTTCGGTTCATTGTTTGTTTTTTTGTTTTTTGTGGGCTCTGGAGGGATTTGTTTCTATCTTCAGTAGCTATCTTCTGGAGAGCTGGCTTAGTTGTCTTGGGTTCCTTTAGACTGTTTTTGTTATGGAAAGTTTTTATTTTTCCTTTAGTTACAACAGGTAGCTCTAATGGATGCATTATTCTGGGACGGCAGTTGTCAGCTTTCAGAAATTGAAATACGTCATTGCAAGCTCTTCTGGCTTTTAAAGTTTCAGTTGAACAAACTGCTGTTAATCTGATGGACCTGCCTGTTCATGTGGCACGGTGCTTCTCTTTTGCAATGTTCAGTATACTTACTTTTGTTCCGTAGATTAGTGTTTTAATTACAATATGGTAAGGGAGGTTCTTTTCTGGTCTGTCTAGTGTCCTAAACTCTTCCTGTGTGTGGAACATTTTCTTTGTCTCCTAGAACCTTGGGACACTTCCCATTGTAATTCTTTTGAAAATGTTTTCTAAGCCTTTAGGATGAGATTCTTCACCTCATATGCCTATAAGCTGTAGATTTTGTCTTAGAATGCTGAGTAGATCTTGGAATTCCCATTTATACTGTTTTAAAAAGTCCTTATTGGATTGTTCTTGTTTCTACAGATGTATTCAAGATCAAATATTCTGTCCTCTCCTTGGTCTGTTCTGTTGCTGAGGTTTTCCATGGGTACTTGTTGGGTTTTGTTGTTTTGAGGCAGGGTCTTACTGACCCTGGCCCTGGCTGACCTGGAACTGGCAGTGTAGACCAGGCTCGATTGGCTTTGAACTCTCAGAGATCTTCCTACCTTTGCTTGCTGAGATTAGAAGCATGTGGAACCATGCCTAGCCTTTCACAACTTTTTTTTTTAAACTTTAAATGCATTACTATATATTACCTTTTTCTTGCTAAGATAAAACATCATGACCAAACGCAACTTAAGAGTTTTGTTGAAGTTGGCTTTCGACAGAGCTGTCTCCCTCAGAGCGGGGAGTAAGACCCTGAAAGCTTTTGTTCTTTCTTTAGCTCCAGTGTGTCTGATGTGTGGTGGATAACTCCCTCCCAAATGTGTTGAGCCCTACTGTGTACGGACAGCCCTGCAATGTCCCGGGCTCAGCAGACAGGTCTCCACTAGCTAAGAGACGGCTTCCCACTCTTGTCTCGCTTTGAGGACATCTCCTCAGTATTACCCTCAAATAAAATACTCTCTTAAGTGTTTCCTCCCCACAGTTTTTCGTCCTTCAAATCTTAACTTCTGTAAATGATTACTAAATACAAAATAGGTTTGTATTCCTATTCTGTGTGCTGGAGATATTGCAATAAATGAAACAGGGCCCTGACCCTTGTAGAGCTCTCACTTAGGTAAAGCGAAAATAAATTAATCAGGATACAGGTACATGACGGGGTGGGAGGGTGCTCTTATGGAAGACAAGGCACTGTGCGAGAGGCAGTTGAGAAGAGGAATCTTGTTTTCTGTCTTGCGGCTCTGCCTTCCTTTTGTACTTAGTCCGGACCCTCTTGTCCACAGCAATAGATTTTGTTTCCATTAACTTAGTGAAGAAAATATATGACGGCGTGGTGGCTGGAAAGGCAAATAATGTGCCGCGTTGCCCGCGAGGTACAACCTCTGAGAGTGACTTTTCAGTAAACACAGCAAGGAGCGGGAACACCGCAGTGTGATTTGGTTTCCATAGCTCTGGTCCCGTTATCAGGAAGCCAGCCTTTCCACTGCTTATCTCCAGAGCTTCCATTTCATTGTGCTCCTTCAGGCCTTTCTGCACCCCGTATAGAGGCCAGAGAGGGCCCGGCTGTGACTTCTCTTGCAGGAGGGCACCAGGGCAGGACTCTAGGAAGGACCGCGTGCTCCAGGTTCACAATGGATCGGCTCTGGATCTTCTTCCTCCATCCCGTGTCGTTTCATCAAGGGGCTGCTTTCCCTTTTGCACTTCTGTTTAATCATCTCCGCACCGTGGATTCCTTTCCCCCCCGGGCCAGGTAGGCGGAATGGCTAATGCTGCCTTTCCATCTAGAAGTACAATAATACGGTAGAAAGACAGAGTGTTCTCTAAACGAGAAGGCCACCCATTCACTACTCTCAATTTGTTCTCTATGCACGTGTGTTGTGCTTAGTAGCCTTGCTACCAATCGTTGGCTGCTTGATAACGATTGCCTATAGATTAGCAGTGGCTCTCCCTAACGCTGCGACCCTTTAATAAAATCCCTCGTGTTGCGGTGACCCCCACCCATAAAATTATTTGGTTGCTACTTCATAACTAAATTTGCTATTGTGATGAATCATAGTGTAAATATCTGATATGCAGGATATCTGACCTCCGAAGGGAGTTGTGATCCACAGGTTGAGAATCTCTGGATTAGCACAAAACCGATTCAGAGATTAACTTCATGTTTGCATTGACTCAAAAGTGGATAGGTTTGTGTGAAATGGGAAATGGAGAGACATTGAGATGAGTGATAGGGGAAGTCTCAAATGTCTGCTTCTGTGCTGACCACAGATCCTGGTTAGTTTCCAGCAGTCTTAGTTTTGTAGGATTATGCGTGCCATGAAATTTAACTGTATGGAAAATATAGCTTGTGTATACATCTATAAAAAAGTAGGCGTGTTAAAATTTGCCTTTGGTTGACTTTTTGTTTCTTTGTTTTTGAGAAATAAGTCAAAACAAATCTTGGTAAAGTTCAGCTCAGTGTGATCTAAAATTGTCACGGAAGAGCCAATTAGACATTCTCCTTATGAAGCTCAACGCATTAGAAGCACATTCTGTTTTGAAGAGGACTTAGTGGAAGATCCTTCTGAAAAGCCCACAGTCTGCTGCCCAAAGCAGTAGGCCTCCTAATTTTTCTTATTTAGGAAGCTAAGGTTTTTATTTAGTGCAGCTGTGTGTGTCCCCATGTGTGTGCATGTGTGTGGTTTTCAGGGTGGAACCCAAGACTACACATGCTGAAAATGTTCTCTACCGCTAAGCACCACTTTTTAGACCTAGGGGATCATCTTAAGTAAAATCTAGCTGCACTTATTATTTGTAATTATTGAGTTTGACTAAATTAGGGTGTGTTATCCTGTGTCCACAACTTGTAGATGGCCTTTACCCTTGTTTCTAGGGGATGACGATAGGGGAACAGATTTTTTGTTTGTTTGTTTGTTTTCTTTTTTGTTTTGTGAGACAGGGCTTCTCTTTGCAGTCCTGGCTGTCCTGGAACTCACTCTATAGACCAGGGTGGCATCAGACTCAGAGATCTGCCTGCCTTTGTCTCTTGAGTTCTGGGATTAGAAGCATGCACCACCACCACCAGGCTTCAGGAGGATAGTTCTAAAGAAACTTTCTATATACAAAGATTCACAAAGCATTAAAGCAAGGCGAGCTTAAAAGTAAGGATTAACTCTAGGGCGGAGATTGTCCTTAACTCTTGTCCTGTTGAGGGTTTTTTTGGAAATATTTATTTTCTGTGTGTGTGTATGCGTGCGGGTGTGCAAGAGCTGATAAAAGTTACAAGAGGGTTATCAGATTCCTGGAACTGAAGTTTCAGATGTTTGTGGTCCACCCTGTTTGGAGCAGGTCCTCTACAAGAACATAACCACGCCTAACTACTGAGCCATTTCTCCAGCCCCAAGACTGTTGAGTCTTAATTTTCTCAATAAATTCTTGTATATGGGAATAAGCTTCCTGAGACACCTGTCCTTACCTATAAAACACACACACACACAAAGCCTGTCTCTTGTACCTTGCAGCCAAGTTCACATCCGTGCTGGGAATTGGAGCCCAGAGCCTTGGACATGCTATCAAGGGCTGGCTACCAGAGTCACAGCCCTAACCCTCACCTTTGTTTACTTGTTTGTTTCTGAGGTAGGGTCTCACTGTATATATACCTCAGGCTGGCCTTGAACTCCTGATTGTGTGGTCTCAGCCTCCTCAGTACTGTTCATTACTAGCAGAAGGTAGAAATAAAATCAATTAAGTTATACATCCCACACTGTAGACACGTGCAGGTATTTGATGTTTCTATGTGCACGCGGGAGTCATTCTCATTCAAACCGCCACACAGAGCAAGGGAGGGCTTAGGTCATAGTGTTAATCGGGGTGACGAGGCGGAGGCTGAAAAAGGAAGGCCTACGAATGGTCTGGAACTTTTATGTCATCGAGTTGCTCACACTGAGGCATCTGCTGGTGTCCCAGGAAAGTGTCTGTGGTCGACGCATGTCAGGCACTGTACCCACACCCTGGGATGTGTGTTTCTGGGTTCCGAGTACGAGAGAAAGACAAGCTTTGATCACCCACCTCGCTGCGCCTGGCCTAACCCACTTTGCGGGTATTCTGATGCCTGCCTCCAGCTTTATTCATTTGTCAAAATAGAAATAAAAGCCTTCCATCTAATGCAGAAAGAAGAACCAAGTCCATATGAAATGGACTCTCCCAGACTTTGCACACCTTCCCCCTTGAGGTTTCTGAGCAAGAACTGGGACAGATACTGTTGCTTCGAGGTGGGCACCTTCAGTGCTGAAGAAGACACTATACTTTTCTTCCCTGGCTATCTGAAGACTGTTCGCCGTCATGGAAGACACATTGACAACGTGACTACTTCAGTGGCAGTGAATCTTTACACTAGGAAGGCAGCGATGTAAGAAAGAAAACTGGGGGAAACTGACTAAAAGGACAAAGCCATGCCAGATGGCTTCTTTCTTTTCTTTCTTTGGGGGTAGGGGGACTTGCTAGTTCCTCCACACCCCCCACTTTTGTTAACAGTGCTTCTCAGTTAGATCGTGAGCGGTCCCATCGGCGAGCTGTCTGGGACTGTCGTAGTCATTGTTCTGTTGCTGGGGAGAGACACCATGACCAAGACAAGTCTTATAAAAAGAAAGCATCGAACTGGGGGCTTGAACGGTTTCAGAGGGTTATATAGTCCATTATCAGCCCGTCAGGAAGCATGGTGGCAGGCAGACAGGCATGAGGCTGAGAGCTTACATTCTGATCCACAGGCAGAGAGAGACAAAGAGAGAAGCTGAGAGAGAGAGACATACACACAGAGGCTGGGAGGCGGGGTTGAGAGAGAGAGAGAGGAGACAGAGAGAAATAGAGACTGGGCCTGCCATGGGCTTTTGAAACCTCAAAACACACCTCCTCCAGTAAGTCCATACCTACTCCAACAAAGCCACACCTCTTAACCTTCCCCCAAAGTTCCAATAACTGTGGACAAAGCATTCAAACATATGAACCGAGGGGGGTGGGGGCGGCATTCTCATTCAAATTCCACAGGCTCTTAGTGGTTACAGTCACTTGTATGACGCACATGCCAGAGCCACCAGGGTCACCAAGGGAGGAAGCAGAACTTGTCTCCTGCGGCGGGAGTTTACAGGGGACGTGGGCTTTATTCCCTTCAGAACGGATGTCTCACTGAGGCGACACACAGCCTCTTTACATGTTGTATGAGATTCCTGGGGACGATGACAGTGGAATTCATTGCTGCACTATCTTAAGCGTCACCTCTGTGGTCTCTTCTCTTTCAGGTACCTCTTCCTCCTGGCTGGAGGAGGTGTCCTGGCCTTGGCGGCCATGGGTCCCTATGCTTTGCTCGTCTTCATCCCTGCCCTCTGCGCCGTGGCTCTGGTCTGCTCACTCAGCCCACGGGAAGTCCACAGGCTGACCTTCGGCTCTCAGATGGGCTGGCAGACCCTGTGCCACCTGGGTCTTCACTACACCGAGTACTACCTACAAGAGTCTCCGCCTGTGGGGTAAATGTGCCTGTTGGTTTGGTTGTACTGAGCTGAATCTAATATCTGGGGAGCATGCTCTTGGGCTATGTAGCTTCTCCCAAGACTCAGTCTCTTTTCCTAGACAAAGAATAACAGAGTTGGCAGTAGCGTTAGAGATAATCAATGCAGCCGGGCGGTGGTGGCGCACTCCTTTAATCCCAGCACTTGGGAGGCAGAGGCAGGTGGATCTCTGTGAGTTCGAGACCAGCCTGGTCTACAAGAGCTAGTTCCAGGACAGGCACCAAAACCACAGAGAAACCCTGTCTAGAAAAAAAAAATCAATGCAAAAGCAGCTCCGTCACTGCACAGAGCCATTCCGTGCTGCTGTCTAGAGACTCAGTTATCTGGCACTTGCTGTGATTGTCATTGTGCCTGGCGGTGATGACAGTTTGCTCGACTCAGCGTTGGCAGTTTGGGCCCAGCCAAACCACAGAGGGCCTGGCTGCCTCCGCCGTGTGTTTTCTTTACTCCGGCTCAGCTCTTTCATCCCTCCTCCCACCCCCAAGAAGGATATCGACCCCATCTAGGGACCAGTAAAGAACAAAACCCAGAGCTAATTACAGACTAGAGGCATGTCATGAACCAGGGGAGTTGACAAGGTTAGGGGGATGAGAATCTTTGTCTGTGTTCCTGCCACCTAGTGTTCCTGGTGCCCCATGGCTGTCTGGTGGCATAGCTCTGTGCCACTCAGGAAATACAGGCTATGACAGCACAAGGCAGGGCCCCTGTCTGCTTCTAAGCTATTAGCTCACTGGATTTGCCACTCCCACTGCATCTAGAATCTTTGGGAATTATTATGACAAATTAGACTTGGTGACACCTGCCTGAAACCCCAGCACAAGGAAGTGGAGGCAGGAGGATCCAGAGCTCAAGGTGATGCTCATATAGCAAATCGAGGACCAGACTGGGATAAGGCCTTGTCTCAAAAACAACAAACAAAAAAGTAAGGCAGTATTGGCCAAGACTTCAGACTTGCAGGCTAAGGAGATGGCGCAGTGGGCAAGAATGCTTGCTGTGCAGATCTCAGAATCTGAGTTCAAGCCTCAAGAATGCATGGACAAAGCTAGGCATGACTGTGTGTGCACTTGCCGCCCCAGCTCTGTGTGTCTGCAGGGGGAGGAGAGGTGACAGGAGGACCACGGGTCCTGATGACAACCACTCCAGGTTCAGTGAGAGACTCTGTATACCAAGGGAAAAGGGTAGACAGTGGTAGAGCAGACACCCATCCCATATTCTCCCTTGGCCGCCACACATGCATACAACACACATACAGACACACACAGATACATCTCTCTCACACACAGAGACACACAGACATGTACACAAATACACACAGACAGAATACATCTCACACAGAGACATCACACACATACAGACACACACTTAGATTCACACAGACACAGACATACACATATACACACTCACCCTGATGCATTTTCCAGTGCACATTCCAGTCACCAGAATATCACAGCCAGGGCCTGACTTTTATTTAAAAACTTCAACTTCCTGTAATCTTTTCACTACTAATTCTTGTTTATTTTGTATCAAATGTCTTCCATATCTCTAGTCTCAAATTTCTTTTTATTGATTTTATTTTATTATATATGGGATGTTCTATAACTTACTCTATAGTGTAGCCAAACCTCCAGCTCACTATCCCCCTGCCTCAGCCTCCTGAGTGTAGTAATACAGGTGTGTATCACCACACTAGCTCTGACTCTAATATTTACAAGCCATTCTTTTTAAAAAAGGAACACTTTAATTAATTAATTATAATGTATTTATTGCCGGGCGGTGGTGGCGCACGCCTTTAATCCCAGCACTTGGGAGGCAGAGGCAGGCGGATCTCTGTGAGTTCAAGACCAGCGTGGTCTACAAGAGCTAGTTCCAGGACAGGCTCCAAAACCACAAAGAAACCCTGTCTCGAAAAAAAAAAAACCAAAAAAAAATAATAAAAATATAATGTATTTATTGTATATGACACAGCACTCCTATGGAGATTGGAAGGCAACTTTGTTGTTGTGGTTGTTTTCAAGACAGGGTAGCCTTGACTGTCCTGAAACTCTGTAGACCAAGCTGGCCTCGAACCCACAGAGCCTGCCTCTGCCTCCTGAGTGCTGGGATCAAAGGTGTGCGCCACCACTGCCAGAATCAGAAGGCAACTTTTTTTTTTTTTTTTTTTTTTTTTTGGTTTTTCGAGACAGGGTTTCTCTGTGGTTTTGGAACCTGTCCTGGAACTAGCTCTTGTAGACCAGGCTGGTCTCGAACTCACAGAGATCCGCCTGCCTCTGCCTCCCGAGTGCTGGGATTAAAGGCGTGCGCCACCACCGCCCGGCTAGAAGGCAACTTTTGAGAACCAGTTTTCTTCTTCTTCTTCTCCTTCTCCTTCTTCTTCTTCCCAGGAGGTGGAGAGAAGACTCAGTGGTTAATACTTGTTAACCTCAGCGGCCGCTCTTGCAAACAGACCCAGATCCAATTGGCAGCACCCACATGACAGCTTACAGACATCCATAACTCCAGTTCCAGGGGCTCTGATGCTCCCTTCTGGCCTCCTTGGGCACATAAGTATTACACAGACTTACATGCAGGCAACACATCCATACACATAAAAATAAAAATTTAAATACATTATATATATATATATATATATATATATATATATATATATATATGAATGATAGCCAGTCAGATATGGTGGCACAATACTTTAATTCCCAGCATTCAGAGACAGTCAGGAGTAGCCCTGGGAGCTCCAGTTCAGTCAGAGCTACAAGTGAAACCCTATGTCAAAAAATTATCGTCAATATTTTTCATAGTATTCCTCATCATTTTTTCCCCCATTTCTAACCATGAGTAGTGCTTTTGCCCTGGACTAATGTGTGTGTGGTTCTGATAGATTCTAAGAGTCTTTGTGGAGTATGATTTGCTATGAGATCTGTAGGCAGGTCGGGCCAGGAGCGAGAGAATAAGTCCGGTGTGGCTTCCAACATGTATTAATTTAAGTCTCTTTCAGATTCTACGTCGCTCTTTCTTCCCTCATGCTCTTGACGCAGAGAGTCACGTCGCTCTCACTGGATATTCGTGAGGGGAAGGTGGAGGCAGCCTCGGGCGGCACGGGGAACAGAAGCTCTTTGTCTGAGTGCCTAAGCAAGGCTTTGCCCTACTTCAGCTACTTGCTCTTTTTCCCTGCCCTCCTGGGAGGCCCCCTGTGTTCCTTTCAGAGGTTTCAGGCTTGCGTGGAAAGATCAAGCCCTTTGCAGCCCGGTCTCTCTTTGCGGGCTCTGACCTGGAGGGGTCTGCAGATCATCGGGCTGCAGTGGCTCAAGGTGGCGCTGAGGAGGGTGGTGAGCGCAGGGGCCGGGCTGGACGACTGCCAGCAGCTGGAGTGCGTCTATGTCATGTGGTCCACAGCTGGGCTCTTCAAACTCACCTACTACTCGCACTGGATCCTGGACGACTCTCTCCTCCATGCGGCGGGCTTTGGGTCTGAGGCTGGCCAGAGGTCTGGGGAGGAGGAGGGATACATCCCCGACGGGGACATATGGACTCTGGAAACTACCCACAGAATCTCCTTGTTCGCGAGGCAGTGGAACCGGAGCACGGCTCGGTGGCTCAGACGGCTCATCTTCCAGAACAGCCAGCGCTGGCCGGTGCTGCAGACTTTTGCCTTCTCTGCCTGGTGGCACGGGCTCCACCCGGGACAAGTGTTCGGTTTCCTATGCTGGTCTGTGATGGTGGAAGCCGATTATCTGATTCACACTTTTGCCAGTGTATGGATCAGCTCCTGGTCCCTGCGGCTGCTCTATAGAGCCCTCACTTGGGTCCATACCCAGCTCATCATCGCCTACATAATGCTGGCCGTGGAGGGCCGGAGCTTTGCCTCTCTCAGCCGGCTGTGTTGTTCTTACAACAGTATCTTCCCCGGGGTGTACTGTATTTTGCTTTTGCTGTTAGTGAAGAGAAAACAGAAACGTAACTGAAATCTTTCCTCTGCCTTCTATTTCATTCAGCCACGAAACAGAGGATGTCTTGATGATTAATGTACTTCAATTTTTTTCAAGATAAAAGTTTTTAAGTATTGGATGGATAAACGTGATGGCTGGCCACAGACCTGTACTCTCTGGCTGTGATGGTTTGAATAAGGGCTCACATAGGTTCAAACGGAAATGCTTAGGGCGTGGCACTATTTGAAAGGACTAGGAGGTGTGGTCTTGTTGGAGGAAGTATGCCACCAGGGGTGGGCTTTGAGGTTTCAAAAGCCCAGGCCAGGCTCAGGCTTTCTTCTGCTTGCCTGTAGATCAGGATGGAGGCCTCTCAGCTCCTCCTCCAGCACCATGTCTGCCTGCATGCTGCCATGCTTCCTGCCATGATGATAATGGACTGAGCATCTGAACTGTAAGCCAGCCCTAATTAAATAGTTTCCTTTATAAGAGTCGTCATGGTCATGGAGTCTCTTCACATCAATAGAACAGCGACTAAGACACTACATTTAACAGGCTATTCTGTTGCTACTGGGGTGTGAAGCAGAGAAGCATATGGACTTACTTTTCCATAAAAGTAAGTAGGGACGGCAGCTCACAACTCAAACAGCAAACCAGAAAGCTGCCGGGTCCAGCATTAGCTTTTCCTAACAACCCTTTTAAGAAAATACTGAGGTGTCACCTGAAAACTACCTTCAACTCTTTGGGGGACATGACCCTATTGGGGTCCACACAGTGAGACCCTGCCTTAAACAGACTTTTGCCCCACAAAGCAAAAGTGACAAAACTCAACCATGTCCTATTACTCTGTCCCACGAACTCATTGCTAGCCACAAGTTTGAAAAATTTAGTCTATGTGGCCATCCAAATTCTGAAAATGTCTCTTACATCCCAAGAGACTGGGACGTTTGCTGGACCTCACAGCTGAGTTAATAATACACCTTGAGGTCACTGCAGACTTATGTGGGCTCTCTTACTGTATACTTAGACTGTTGGTTTAACCTGCCTTTAAGAGGACAATGTAACAACCAACTTTATTTGCCCTGGACTTCCCGAGTAGCCAACTTTTACAACCTAAGATAATGAGTAGCTATAATCTTAAATTATATGCTCTTCTGTGTCCTTGACCCAGGTAATGTGGGTGTGTCAGGTGCTGTAAGCAGCTGTCTTTGTTAGGGTTGCTATCGCTGTGCTGAGACACCAGGACCGTGGCAACTTTTAAAAAGGAAACATTTACCAGGGGGCTGGCGTACACCAGGTTCGGAGGTTTAGTCCATTACAGTTATGGTGGGAAGCATGGTGGTATGCAGGCAGACATGGTGCTGGAGAAGGAGCCGAGAGTTCTACTCTGGATCTTCAGGCGGCAGGAAGAGAGAGTGACAAGGGGCCTGGCTTGAGCTTCTGAAATCTCAAAGTTGAGAGAAATCTCTTAAGATCTACCATAAACATTGATAGCATCCATTTATTGGTTGATAATAACACTTGCTATCTGGATCAGCTGGGAGCCAGAGACTTAATCCCTGTTAAGTGTTTCTGCAGATTATCCCATTTATTCCCCATGGGCAAAGCCCTTTGTCAGGGACAGACACAAACAAAACAGACAGATACACAGGGCAGGCGCAGACACAGCCTCACAGAGGACAGAAAACATAGAGCAGGAAGCAGATTACCCAAATCTGGACTCGCTGTCGGTTAATTGTCTCCAAGGGGAGGTGCTTTTCTTTCCCTAATGAGACAGCAATGCATTACTGGTAACCTGAAGCCAATCACTAATGTGTTTAATCCATGCTGGACTAAACTTGGAAATTTGGATAGAAAAATAGAAAGGCTCTTATCATTCCCAGAGGAGAAAAAGTGGAAAACCAACCTGTGTCGATTATTGCGTCATCTAGGTTCAAAGCAGAGCCATCTGGGAAGAGGGACCCTCAGCTGAGGAGCTGTCTCCATTAGGCTGGATGGAGTGTGGTCTCGTCTATGCTCCTGAGCTGTAAAAGAAAGCAGGCTGAAGAAGTCACGGAAGCTAAGCCTGTCTGCAGCACGCCTCCATGGTCTCTGCCTTGAGTTCTAACCTCAGCCTCCTTCAGTGACAGACTTCATGAAGGAAGGTGAAATAAGCCCTTTCCTCCCCAAGTTGTTTCTGGGGAGGAAAACAAAAATAAAAACAGCAACAGAAACCAAATTAGGATCCCACCAAACACTTAGTAACTACTTACATAGTTGGTGAAACCAAAGCCTACTGAAATGTACCAAAGGGAGAAAGAACGCCCGCAGGAGGCAAACACAGTCTCTGTAAGAACTGTAGGCAGCGGTCTTTCCTTCCTTCCTTCCCCTGGCTCACTCTAACAAACGTTTCTTATGTTCAACATATACCCACTCATGGTATCAGAACCTCCAACGTAGCCAGGAAGTAACACCACATCTGTGGGCACCTGGACTATATATAATTACTCTTTTTTCTTTAAAAAACAAAAGGCATGTGTTGTGTTCACAGGCATATGTGTGAGTACTGGGTATCTTCAATTGTTCTCCGCTTTATTGTTTGAGACATGGTCTCTCACTGGACCGTGAGCTCAAAGGTTCAGCTAGATTGGCTGGCCAGCGAGTCCAGGGATCCCCTTGCCTCTGCCTTCCCAGCATGGCTGTTCCTTCCCAGTGCGGCTGTTCCCTGCTTTCATGTAGGAGCGGGCAACTGAACTTGGGTCCTGATGCTTGCTCCCCAGGCACTTGACCTAATGAGTCGTAGCTCCAGCCTGACTTTTCTTTAAATTGGCTTTACGTCAACTCACTTTTTCTTCACACTGTTGGATGGTTTTGAGAAACCATCTCACTGTGCAGCCCACTTTAGACTCAAACTAGAAACCCCCTGCTTCCATTTTCTGAGCACTGGGGTTACAAGCCTCATCGCCATGTCCAGTGCATTAATTTTAATCCATTCTAGTACACGCTAAAAGAAACACATGCTTGTTTTAGCTAATTTTCTGAGAAATCACCACACTGACATCCAAAGGAGTTGTACCAGCTTGCATTCCCACCAGCAATGCAAAAGTGTTCTCTTTTCCCCACAACCTCTCCAGCATAAGTGTCATCAGTGTTTTTGATCTTGGCCATTCTTTCAGGTGTAAGATGGAATCTCAGAGTTGTTTTGATTTGCATTTCTCTGATGACTAAGGATGTTGAACATTTCAGCCATCTTAGATTCCTCTGTTGAGAGTTCTCTGTTTAGGTGTGTACTCCATTTTTTTTTTATTGGATTATGTGATCTTTTGGTGTCCAATTTCTTGAGTTCTTTGTATATTTTGAAGATCAGACCTTTGTCTGAGGTGGGATTAATGAAGATTTTTTTCCCATTCTGTAGGCTGTCATTTTGTCTTGTTGACCGTGTCCTTTGCTTTACAGAAGCTTTTCAGTTTCAGGAGGTCCCATTTATTAATTGTTTCTTTTAGTGTCTGTGTTGCTGGGGTTCTGTTTAGGAAGTGGCCTCCTGTGCCAATGCGTTCAAGTGTACTTCCCACTTTCTCTTCTATAAGGTTCAGCGTGGCTGGCTTTATGTTGAGGTCTTTGATCTATTTGGACTTGAGTTTTGTGCATGGTGACAGATATGGGTCTATTTTCATTCTTCTACATGTTGATATCCAGTTATGCCAGCACCACTTGTTAAATATGCTCTCTTTTTTTCCATTTGATAATTTTTGCTTCCTTGTCAAAAATTAGGTGTTCAAAGATGTGTGGATTGATATCTGGGTCTTCTATTTGGTTCCTTTGGTCTTCCTGTCTGTTCTTATGCCAATACCAGGCTGTTTTCAGTACTGTAGCTCTGTAGAAGAGTTTGAAGTCAGGGATTGTAATGCCTCCAGATGTTCTTTTATTGTACACGATTGTTTTGGCTATCTTGGGTTTTTTGCTTTTCCATATGAGGTTGAGTACCATTCTTTCGAGGTCTTTGAAGAATTTTGCTGGGATTTTGATGGGCATTGCGTTGAATCTGTTCTATGCTTATTCTTAAGCCACAGCTACATTTACAGGACATTATGCAATGGCCATCTGCTTTTATATTAAATGCCAAACACATTGAAACTCATTTATTAAATAGCAATGTTTTTTAGCAATTGCATGGTGGCTGGAGAGATGGTTCTGTGGTTAAGAGCAATTACTGCAAGCCTGGCATTGTGGTACACACTGCTATCTTCAGCACTTGGAAGGCAGATTCTGTAACAGAGAGTTACAGGATGGCCAGGGCTACACAGAGACCCAGTCTCAAAAAGAAACACATGAGTAAACAAAAAGAGACTTACTGCTCTCGAAGAGGACTCAGGTTCCCAGGACCCACACCGGGTGTTCACAGTCCACATAGGAGGTTCACAACCCTCTGTAACTCGGGCTTCAGGGCATCCAGGGTCTCTTCTAGCCCCCACAAGCCTTGCATACGTGTGGAATACAGACACACATGCAGGCAACATACACATAAAGCAAAAACAAGAACAAATGCATGGAAGAACGCAGGTTTCTTCTTTCCCGTTTTATCCTATTTGACGGTTTCTACTGCCCCGTTTTATCCCATTTGACGGTTTCTACTGCCCTGAACTAAACCCTCCCTCACAGTGTTAACTACGGGGACTTCTCACCAGCAGTACTGCAATGAACACAAACCAGAAAAGTTTTAACTGAAAAAGCAATGCTTTGTGGTCCCTATCTCTCATTCATGGAAACCTAAATTATTTTTTGAATTTGATTCTACCTCATCTCCACAGGACTTAAAAAGTTTAACAATCTCATTTCTTTCTTTCTCCCTCTCTCTCTTTTAAACTATAGTGTGTGGTTTGAAATCCAAGAACAGTTTTCTAAATTATCTTCAGGAAGACGAAGCAAAACAGGGTAGTCACTTTCTTGTAAAGATAAATTTCAGTGGGCTTGAGGCTTAGCTCTGTGGTAGAGTGCTTGCTTAGCAAGCACAAGGTCATGGGTTCGATTCCCAGTACAACAAACCAAACCAAACCAAACCAAAATAATAATAATAATAATAATAATAATAAAACTACCTTAGAGGTCTGGGCAGATGGCTCAGAGGCAGAGATGAAGACTGTTCTTGAAGAGGACCCAGTTCAGTTCCCAGCTCCCATATCAGGTGACTCACTAGCACCCGTGAATCCCAGCTCCAGGGACTCTGGTGCCTTCTGGCCTTGGCAGGCTCCCATACTCATGGGCATGCTTCCTCTCATCCCTTGGGACTTACATGTAAATGAAATTAAAATAATCTTGAGAGAAAATTACAATAATTATAAACTCCATGGCCAGCGAGCTGTTGAGAGCACCTGATACCAAGCCTGAGTTCCATCCCCGGGATGGTGGAAGGAGAGAACCAGCCCTCCTAAGCTCCTAAGCTGTTCTCTGGCTTCCACCCAGACATCATGGTATACACGAGCTCACACACATACATACACCTATAAGAACTGTAACCGAACAAACCCAAACCTTCAGCTCTTACAAACGGTGAGGAGATACTTAATGAGAGAAATTCCGGTCTGTGAGGTTAAAGCGGAGGAGCGCCTACCTTCAAGTGTAGGAAGCTCAATTAGAGCTTCTGCCGGTGTTGCTCACGATCAGTTAAGGGCGACATCAGCAGGAAGAACACTGTTCACAAAGCAGTTCACTTGTGCAGGAGGTGAGCGGCGCCCAGCCCATGGCGTTGCGCTGTGATGTGCACAGCTGTTCTGTTTCTGGGTCAGAGTGTCGGATTCGCCATTTGCCCCACAGTGTGCCACTCCTCCTAACCTAGTGCGTGCTAGCCAATTAGAAACCAACTAAGTCAGGGAGTGCGAGGGTCAATTTTAAGGCAGCAGAAACATAATCTGTCCCCAAATACAGGCTGTAGCCATTTAAAAGGAGAAAAAAAGTTGAAATTGTGTTATTGGTGTATGTGGCATAGTGGACATCTGGACATCAGAGGACAGCCTGAGGGACTTGGGTCTCTCTCCCTTAAAAACTTGTTTTTTTTGAAGATTTATGTGTGTGAGTGTTTTGCCTACATTTGTGTATGCACAGTGCTGGCACACTGGTGCCCACAGAGGTGGAAGGGGGTGTCAGATCCCCGGAACTGTTAATATGGATGGTATGAATGGTTATGAGCCCTCAAGTGGGTGCTGAGAACCGAACCCAGTCCTCGACGAGAGCGACAAGCGCTCTTAACCTCTGAGCAATCTCCCCAGGCTCCAGTTTACTCCTACCGTGTTGGTTTTGAATTCAAGCTGTTAGTCTTTACTCGATGAACCATCTTGCTGGTTTGTAATTTTTAAAAATTACTGTGTGTTCGCACGCCTTTAATCCCAGCACTTGGGAGGCAGAGGCAGGCGGATCACTGTGAGTTCGAGACCAGCCTGGTCTACAGAGCTAGTTCCAGGACAGGCTCCAAAACCACAGAGAAACCCTGTCTCGAAAAACCACAAAAAAAAAAAAAATTACTGTGTGTGTGTGTGTGTGGCGGGGGGGGGGGTGGGGGGTGGGGAATCAAAGTGTGCCACGGCGGTTGTGTAGAGGTCAGAGGACACTAGCAGGAGCTGGTTCCCTCCTTGCCCCATGTGTGTCCCTGGCATTAAACTCAGGTTGTTCGTGGCTTGACTCACCGAGCCTCCCCTGTAGTCCTTAATAACCAATGAAAAAAAGCGCAAGTGTATGATCTCCTTCATGCGTCTGTCTAATGGCTAAAATAAAGCCAGAGCTAGCTACCTTTTCAAGAAGAGTAACTTCATCTACCCTGGTTGGGTTCAGTGAGGCAAGCGTTCTATACCCAGCACCACATCCCCAGCCGACATAGTTCCTCTAACAGGAGTTCCTGTCTTTACCAGAGGACAACACGTGCTTGTGTGGAAGAAACAGGAATTGGAATTTCTCACTGAAGGAAGCCATTGCAAAGTGCCCTGGGGGCTAACGCACAGACCGGGTAACAGTAACCAGCACTCACCAAGTCTCCCAGCACACCATGCAAATATGGCACAAGGCCAGCCCATTATCACCACTCCAGACCACCGAGCCTCATGGCACCCTTGTTACTATGGTTTCACTTTCCGCAGCAGGTTGGATCTGCTAGCACGCTTGCTTCCTAGTTTTTATTTCTTTATTGTTTTAGACAGGGTCCCACCTGGCCCTGTGTAAACTTGGACTCCCGATCCTCTTCTCAGCTTCTCTAGTGCTGAGGCTATGGGCTATGGGCCTCAGCACCAGAGAAGATACTGGACTTTTGTTATGAAAGCACCCACAAGCTAAAATGAATATTTAAAATCTTTATTATTTCATCATCAAAAGTTTTCTTTCTATCCACAGCAGAATGGCAATGTCGTGTTGGTGCATATTCATGAAAAACTCTCGAGTAACTAGCCCAGAAATCAGAGATGGGACTGATGTCAAGCCAGTGTCAAAGTCCGACACACAATGCTGCCAGCAAAATTAGTACCCAGAAAGAATATGCGGCTGATAGAAAGGGGTCTACGGCCAAGCGCACGTGCGGCATTGGCGAAGGAACAGAGAATGGGGAGGGGCCTGGGAAGGAACTTCCCTCTCCACCCTGGTGACAGGCAGAGTTCTGACCGTGATCGCACGTGGGCACAGGCACATGGGCGCGTGCGGACACACACACACACACACACACACACACACACACACACACAGCCCTCCATCAGCACTCCTCAGCAAGCCACGTTTGGTCTAACTCACAAATGGCACGGTTATGCTTGCACACTTCACGCAGGTCCCCACCTCGCAGCCAAGGGTCAGGGCAAACAGAACAAAACTGCCGCTTTGGGCATCTTTAGGAAAACGCTGAACAAATTTCGTATATTTTCCTTTTTTTTTTTTTGAGAAATAAAATTCTAGAAAACAACAAAAGACAGTTGTCATGGTTACCCATTTTCGGCTAAAGGCAGAACACTTTGCTATCGGCAGACTGGAGAAACATACAAATGTCCTCACCAAATACTGCCGACCAATGCGAACATTTTCAGAGCCAGCTTTTGAATTAAGTACTGAAAATCGAAGATGCGAATAATCGCTACAATTTGGTCAGCCCACTTTGGGATGTTTTTGGTTGGATTTAAGCTTGAAGCTGGGACACAGCTGGATTTGTCAACTCTGTATTAATCTGTACAATAAATACCTTTACAACAGCAAGTCTATCATGATGAGGCCAGACCTCAGGGAAAAGGTGCCAGGAAGCCTGCCTTCAGTGGTTTTGAAATACACACACACACACACACACACACACACACACACACAGAGCCGGATAGTGGTGGCACATGCCTTTAATCCCAGCACTCCGGGGGCAGAGGCAGGCGGATCCCTGTTGAGTTCAAGGCCAGCCTGGTCTACAAGAGCTAGTTCAGGGACAGACTTGATAGTCACAAAAAAAGAGAAAGAAACGCACACAGTCTCTGACCTCAAGAGACTGCTCTTATCACGGCCTGAGTCCCACAACTGTCCCTGTCTTACCTGCAAGACTAACAAGTCACCTGTGAATGGCAGCAAGGCCTTGAGGGGGAGGCGCTCTGAAAGTATGGCAAAGCAGTTGTTTTCCTAGGAGTCAAATGTTTCTAATGCTATTAAACTATATTTGAAAAGTTCTCTGACTTAATATATTACAATGTACAAAATAAGTTAAAAGGAGGGAGCGGGGGAAAGTTTTTGAGCATCTACAGTGCAAACACACAACTGTCCCATGCATGTCCACGTCCCCCTCGGAGCCACGGGACCCGTCGCTTACAAAGCGCCACTCAAACAGCGGAATTCCAGCTTTGTTTTCCTCGCTGGCTTTGACAGTAACAAACACGAATTTGGCTTGTTGTCACACTTGTACCTTAAAGTTTAACATAAACCCGAACAACTGAAGAGAAAAACACTCTTTTGTAGCAATCCCATAAAATAATTCTCCATTCACAAAACCAGCAACCCTTCTGGAGGGCATGGGCGGTGTTACTCGCCCCCCTGAGGTATAAATGCAGCGGTCTTTGCATTGAGTAAATAGTGTATACGGTATGTCAACACTCTGAATGCTTGCATTCACCTGCAAGTGACCTCATCCTGACTGAATGAAAACTTACTTACATATATATATTTATAATGGATTAACTGATTTTTAGAGAAAAATATGAACTTTAGCCCGTAATACAGCCAGAAGTTCTGAATTCCTGAACCAATGCAAATGGTATTACATCTGAAAAAGATTTAACATTGCATACTGATTTAAAAACAACCGAACAGGGAAAACACCTAAGTATTTTAGATTCAGCAGGATACCATGGAAAGCACAGTCTAGAGAAGTGGGAAACCAGTCAAGCTTTTCCAAAAGAGAAAATCCTTTTAATCCTTAGCAAGTCCCCGTGGAAACAGCAGGCGTACAAGAGTGAGAAGGGAGCGCTGGGGACAATTCAGCCTCACGGTCCCCATCTCCTGTGCGCGGACGGCCAACAGATGACAGAAGTCCATGTGACAACAGTCCGGTGGCTCCGCTCACCACTGCTGCCAGCTGAAGTCATCGTTGCTCCCAAAGACCAGGAAGAAGCCCAGGATAGTCGCGAAGATGACGGTGTTCCCCGTGAGAACGAGGGCGCAAGCTCCCCACTCAATCTGCGGCAGGAAGAAGGCAACAGTCAGCAGGTGTGCAGAGCCAAGGCCACTGGTAGCCAATCAATGCCCGGCGCATTGGCCAATCACAGAGGTAAGTAATGTGGCTTGTGATGACCGTCACAGGACCACACTCAACACTCTTACACAGTGTTTTTATTTGCCGTCATCGATTGATTGAAAAGTAGAGAGGTAGGGGATGATAATTATTCCGGAACATGCTTCACTTCGACAATGACCAACAGAGCTTTGTTTGGCTCCATCTGTAGCCCTGGGCATCTAGGGCTCACCCTGCCCCTGACGGGGATCCCGGCTCCACCTGCAGTTCTGAGCCCCCCCACCTCCCCAGGGCCCTGGACATCTAGGCTGCACCCTACCCGGGGTGGATCCCTGGGCCCGCATAGGATTCCACAGTTAATGCTTACAAAGGAAGTTACTCTTTCTTCGTCTCACAGTCTGGATGGAGCAGAGCGGGAGCCCTAAGCACCACTAATGCAAACATACTTTCTCTGGAAGAGGCTGAGGGCATAACTGCCTCCATCACACTTGAAGCTTGGCTAGTCTCCGCCCTTCTCTCCACCTTTCCAGAGCTCTTTCTCCTCTCTCCCACTTTCCCATCTGCAGAGAACAACCTTCTCAGATGTCTAGGCTTTAGAGGTCAGGGTTCTCAACCCGTGGGGCACGACTCTTTGGAAGTTGCCGGACAACCCTTTCCAGTGGGTCACACACATATCAGATACCCTGCATATCAGGTATTTATGATTCATAACAGTAGAAAAATACAGTTATGAAGTAGCGGCAAAATAATTTTAAGGTTGGGGGCCACCTCAACGTGAATGAAAGGGTCTCAACATTAGGACGTTGAGAACCCTGCTCTTTATAAAGCAGGCCCACGGGCACTCTGCACCGGGGAGTTACTGTGCCCTTTCTGCTGCAGGCCCACGCTTTGCCTTCCAACAGTTTCCCCTGACAGCAAAAACAAATGGGAAGTCGAGGTTTAAACCTGTCCTCTACACCTGTCTTTTACACGACGAAACTTTTTAAGAAAGAAACGAACAGTCTCATGTGAAAGCCTCCCCAGAAGAAGGCAGCTCACCAAGTGTGCTCTGGCGAAGACGACCGGGAGTCCAAAGGCGGAGACGACGATGCCTGTTGTGAGGAAGATGGCGAGCTCCTTGCAAGCGTTACTCATGGCATCGGTGTCGTCCACTAATCTTCTTGCTATGCAGTATGGAATGGGTGAGAGGACGTAAAAAAACAGAACAAAGAGGGGCCAGTATTGGCTGGAAGAGAGAAAGAAGTTAGTGCAGTTTTCGCCAACCCTGTCACTTTCCAACATACTAAGCGCGTGTTTGTTTAAAGAGCAACGGGAAATGACAAGGTATCAAACAAGCTGCAGCTGAAACCAAAGCCACAGGCCTGGGGGGGAATGTCAGAGTCGATTCATCCCTGTACTCAATTACAGCACAATATTTAAAGGATCTACTGACAAAATGCATTATGAAATAGTGAAAAAATTTTTTTAAATCACTTTAGCTTAATAAGGAGACATACTGAAAATAAGAATATTTACACAAAACTTTAAAAATTAGGGACCCATGCCTTTGACATCCTGCCTTATCATAATGTTAGAACCCATGCTTCCCTTAACTGAAACCAAAATATAGGGCACCCACTGAAAACAGTATTGTTAAGCATGGTCTTTAGTTTGTGGTTAGCCATGCTGTGCTGATTTCATTTTCTGATTTCAGCAACTGCAGTGGGGGAAGCTGTGTGAAGGGGACAGATTCCTTCCACTTCTTTGTTATGTTTTAAAAGCATATTATCAAATTTGCAAGAAACAAATGGTCTTTAAGATTGACAGGCTTAAATACATACACAGCAGAGATTTGCTGAAGCTATTTGCTTTCTTTTTCTGAAGATTTATTTTTATGTGTTTGGCATGAATGTATGTGCATCGAGTGCATGTAATACCCAAAGAGGCCAGCAGAGGGTATCATATCCCCTGGAACTGGAATTACAGACAGTGGTGAGGTACCACAGGGGTGTTAGGAACCGAACCTGGGTCCTCTGGAAGAGCAGCCAGTGTTCTTAAGCACTGAACCATCTCTCCAGTCTGTTATGTTTTTCTTAATCTTTTTCTAAGTATTTTAAGAAAGCAAAAAAAAAATTTTAAGTGAAATTTATATGCTTAAGAAAAAAGCTCAAACAATATAGAAATGCAAAATTAAAACCAGAAGCTGCTTTTTAATTTTTTTTTAACCTAAGGAACTTCTTGTGGACCCTCCACAATCCATACAAATCTAACCAAGGTAAAGCTCCACAGAATAGCATTTACAGATTTCCAGTCCTTCCTCATTCCTTAAGGTTAAACTGTCTTCCACTATTTCCCAATAATTTGTTTTTTGGTGCGTGGCCGTTTGCAAAGGTGCGTTAGTGCATGAAGGTCAGGGAACAACCTTGGGCACTGTTCCTCCTCAGGCTCTGTCCACTTTTATTTGAGACAGGGTCTCTGCCTGGCCTGGGGCTTAAGGAAGAGGCCAGGCTGTCCCTGCCTCCCCAGCATTGGGGTCACAGGCATGGAACACTAGACTCTGCTTTGGCACGTGGTATGAAAACCAGTCAAGGAGGACTTGAATAATGAACTGTCTGTCCAGTCTCTACATTTTAACTCTGCGTGTGTGTGTGTGTGTGTGTGTGTGTGTGTATGTCGGACAGCCATCCTGGATGTCAATTCTCACCTACCATATTGTTTGAGACGGGGTCTGTTTGCAAAGCTTACACATCCTCCCGTCTTCACTTTCCATCTCATCAGAGGAGCCCTGGGATTACGGACATGTGCTACCACGCCCAGCTATTCCAGGGGTTCTGGGGATTTGAACTCAGGTCCTCACATTTCTGCTGCAAGTGCTTTATCCACTATAACATCTCTCTCAGCCCATAATTTAGTTTTGGATGGGCATTTGTGATGTCACCAGTTTTCCATTTCCGCAATTACAGACATGGTCACAGTGAACAGCGATTTTCTTACCCAGCTACATGTATCTCTACAAGCATTTGCAAGGTGTGTTTGTATGAGAATTTCATGGAAGTGGAGGGCCAGTTCCGCGAACTACAGGACACAGGCAAACAAACTAGTTCCAAGAAATGGCCCCTACTCACTTCCTAAACTCCTACCCGACTGAGTCCCCGCTGGCATGCAGCAGTGTCTGTCTGCCCACTTCCTTCACCAGTAGATTTCACGTAGCATTGAGCGGGATTTAGTGTTTTCATGTGATATCAGCAACGCAATCCACTCTCCAAGTTTGTGGTTCCCTTCTACTCATTTGTATTTTTAAAACTAAAAGTTACTTAGATGTTAATTTAAAGTTTTCTAAACTGGGCAGGCGATGAATATCTAGAATTCTAGAACTTGGGAGGCTGGGGCAGGCAGACTGTGAGTGAGGTCAGCCTGGGCTACGCAGTGAGACAATGTCTCAGTGGAAGGGAGTTCTTTCTATTCTAGGGCAAGAAATCACCTACCTTGTGTGTGTAGTCAGCTGTGTTCAGGAGCTACCTATGTTATTTTCTGTAATAAGATGTTTTAGATTTCGCTGGAGTATTATTGATGGGCAGTAGGGCCGGGATGCGGTCACCAGGCGTCACAAAAGCAGGTCACACCCCAAATCCCTCTGCCTGGGCACTCTGGTGTCTCTACAGATAACCCTTAAGCAGTGATTTTCAGGAAAGGGTTGTGCTTGGTGAACAGGCATTTCCACCAGGGAAAACAAAGCGCATTCGAAACTTTAAAAGCAGGAGAGTTTTATCTTTAAACACTCAAAAAGAGGAAAACAAAAATCCATTACGTACTTGTATATTGGAAGGGCACATCCCAGCATCAAAAACATCAGGCCAATTGCTCCTCCAAATGACAAGCTAATGAGAGCTGCAAAACAAACAGAAGCCCCAGAGAGTTCAGTAGGGAAGACACTAGTGCAGCCTTTGTTCAGGCCCAGCCCGAGCACTACATGAATCCCAGAAGTGAAACACAGCCTGCCCCCTCCCCTCCAAATTCCAGCTGTTAAAAGTGGCTCATGCCCAGTAATCTCAGCACTCAAGAGACTGAGGCAGGAGGATTACTACAAGCTAAATGTCAAACTATCTCAAAAATCAAAACAAAATGTCAACTGTCTTCAAAGCTGACAATTACAGAGTTTCAGAATCAGCTTCTATGGCGCCCTCAAAACAAAAGCGTTAGAGGTTGAGCTTCCTCCTTAGCCCTTTGAAAGGCTCTGAAATCTGGACGTCAGCCAGGCCTGCTGACACAGGTCTTAATCTCATCTCTAGGGAGGTAGGGATAGAAGGAACTCTGGTCTACATAGTGAGTTCCCAAACAGTCAGGGAAGCATCATGAAACGCTGTTGCAAACAAACACTTTGCCCCTCAAATACCTCATTATGGACATTAAATATTCCCAAATTGGAGGAAATCCACAAGCTGAAACACATTTGGTTCCAAAAACTCCCAATAAGGAATCCTTAACCTGTACATCAGTTTAGACCGACTGCTAACACACAGCACACACCCAGTCACCATTGCTCAGGTCTATTAGGCCCCAGGGTTAATGCCCGCCCCCACCACAGCGCAAACATTATATTTAATCCACATGGGAGTGAAACACTTGCCACACAATCCCTGGAATCCACACAGAAGTGGAAGGGGAAACGGCCGTTCTATCAAGTTATCCTCTGCCTTCCACACTCCTTACCCGTGACAGGATGGGAGGAGGGGCAGAAAAGTCTCACCAAAAACAAACAGAAACACAAAAGCACAAGACTGAGAGAAAAGCTGTTCAAGGCTATGTGTAGCCAATGTATGATCTTTTTTAAAAATTATTTTTAGAGAGGGTCTCCCCGTGTAGCCCTGGCTGGCCTGGACTTTGCTATGTAGACCAGATTGGTCACCTGCCTCTGCATCTCAAGAGTTGGGATTAAAGGTATACACCACCATACATGCCTTGTATTTGTTATTTTTCAAATGCAAGACATTTACTATATAGACTTCATAGTAACATCGTGCCTATAGCTTTATTGGAACCAATCAATTTTGTTAGTTTTTTTTAAACAAAAACTAACTTTGTTTCTTAATAATGTATTTATTTTATGTGTATTTTTTGTATGTTAGTCTGCATGTATATCTGTAAGGGTGTTAGATTCCCTGGGACTGGATTTACAGACAGTTGTGAGCTGCCATGTGGGTGTTGGGAATTGAACCTGGGTCCTCTGGAAGAGCAATCAGTTCTCTCAACCGCTGAGCCAAATTTGTTAGTCTTTAAACAGGTTACTGAAGCACAGTTTCTTTGGTCCTCATTTCCCAAGTCCCAGGAAATCTGAAGGGTGTGAGTACAGCCTGATGTGGACATGGTACACAAGGCAGCAGAAGGAGGAGAAGGAGGAGGGATACTATAGTGAGACACACCTCTGAAGTCCCCCACGCGTGTCTCGTGTACGTTAAAGTGAGAAAGGACTTTATTATATGTAACCAATGACCTAGATCTCAACCAAGAGAAAAGTGTTAGCTTCTACACAGCCTGCATTTCTGCATCCCCAGTGGCTAAGGACATGACTTGGTAAGATTTATTACATTTTTTATTTAGACTTATTTATTTGGTGTTGTGTCCTTGTGGAGGTCAGAGGATGACTTGCAGGAGCTGTTCTCTTCTTCCACCATTCTGGGGCTTTGGGGATTGAACTCGGGTCAGCTTCAGACGCAAGCACTCTTCCTTACAGGTTAAGGCAATTCACAGGCCCAGAAAGTAACTTTTGAAAAACTGGTATTGTTTATCTTAACAGAAAAGTTAAAATCCAAAAGGTAAGTGAAAATCTAAAATTCACCAAGCAAAAACCTACAACACACAAACCAAGATCAGCGGCGAGGGGTCGGACACTGACTAATATTACTGATAAGATGGCCATTGACATTGTCTTGGCCAACTGCGAGTCAGCTGGAATGCTGAATACAACACGAGTCAGGTCACCATGACAACAGTGTACTTGGTTATTAACGTCATTATATTTTATATTTCTGGCAGCAGTGGGGAAAAGTTGAGGAAGTATTTGTTTTGTTTTAAACAGCAAACAGAGCACCCCAGGTTTACGGGAAGTGCAGTAACTACAGAATACCGGGTTTCCCTTTTGTCCCTTTTGTTCCTCACGGACCTGTCTAGAGTCCCTGACTCATTTACACAGGCAGTAACGTCCTGGCTTCCTATACCACTCTTCACTGTTCTGGAAACCAGCGGCTACTTCCCCCAAGGCCTCGGTGCACGTCTATCATCCTATCCCAGGGTTTTCATTCAATCAAACGTCAAGCACACAGCAAGGAGCTGGCTGGCTCTCCTCGGCCCCTGGAGCCCGTGTTCCCGCCCCGCTCTGTCTCTCCTCTGCTTATTACTATTTCCCCTTCCGCTCTCCTCTCCAGCTCCTCAGAGCTACAACAACTCTGCTACTGCATTTATTACTTACTGATGTGCAGAGGGGCTCGGGATCAGCTCTGCGGGACAGTGCTTGCCTGGTGTACGTGAGGCTCTGGATTCAACCTCCAAGGACCATGCATGAATAAGTAACACTCATTTACTGATGCAACAAAAACACCGAGCATTCGATGTGTGCCATATCGCCCCTGCTGCTGAAGGCACAGCAACGAGGAGGGAAAAACCAACAAAGCTTTTCCTTTTGTGGCGTATGCATTCTAGTGGGAGAACTAGGCAGGATTTTAAAATCATCCCGTTTTATTTACCGTGCGTTATCTGTGTGTGCATGCCGATGAGCCATCTGGCTAGTCCCTAAAATACTAAACCATGACCGTGTGGTGGTGCACTCTGGGAAACCCAGCACTGTGTGGAGGAAGCAGCAAGGACCAGGCGGTTAAAGCCAACATTGACTATATACTGAGTTAGAGGTTAGGGCTAGCCTGGGATACTTGAAACCCCATCTCAAAAAAATCAATGTCAATACACAAGCAAACAATGAGCCATCATCGATTTTACAGCTGTCGGGTCTGCCTTCTCGCTTACACATTTTCACTTTCTTAACTGTTCTGTCCCCTGAACAGGATTAGGCATCCATGGACATTATTTAAGATCTCTTGCACAAAAAGGACCCCCTTCAGGATGAATTAACGATTTATTTATCTCTGTAGCCTCAGGATTCTCTGTAGTAGCTGGCGAATAGCAGGGACTCGATAAACACTTCACCGAGGCATTACTGAGAAAGTGAGGTTAGACATTCTGCTTGTTTAGGAACATGAATTCTGGAAGAAGCTAGAGATTTAGAAAACAAAAGGCCAGTGAAGAACGCAAGCAGGTAGGGAAGGGGTGGGAATGCCGCTGGCCCGACAAGGCGCTCTGATGGGCAACGCTGGGCAGAGCTAATAAGTAAGAGGCCCGTGTGTGTGTGTGTGTGTGTGTGTGTGTGTGTGCGCGTGCGCGCGCGCGCGCGCGCGCGCCTGCCAGGATCTTTACCACAGCAGCAATCCAAACTGATCCCTATTCATCTTCCCCTCCCAACTGTTTCTGACTCCCAGATAGTCCGCATGCCCCAGCTTTAACACCCAGTAACAACTTAGAATGGACGTAGCCCAGTGGAGCACAGAACTGGGGAGAGAGGAGCCCAACAGCACTGTGTCCTGGCCTCTACTGGCCACAAACTGGTTACCTCAATAACTTAGCTAACTCAGTTCTTTTTTCTATAAATGAGAAGGACTGTATGGAAAAAGTAAGCAAGACCCAAAACACTGAAGATACTATTAAAAAAATAGATTCTGAAGAAAAAACACCTCTACTCTGGGAAATGCAGCCGCTAAACAGCTTTGTGCACAACTGTAAATACTGTAGAAAAGACAGACTTTATCCAGAAGTCATCTGGGATAACCTGTTCTACTGGAGGAAGCAAGAATAAGAGTTCGAGTTAGCAAGCTTCAGGCTAGCTTGGGCTACATGAGAACCAACTAACCAAATAGTTGACAAACTACCATCAGCACCAGCCTGAGAGGCCCTACCAGCAGCCCCAGCAACACCACCAGTACCAGCACCAGCACCACAAAACCCATCAAAACAAACAAAACAAAATCTAAAGCTAGGTATGGTGATCCATACTTAGCATTCACCAGAGTGAGGCAGGATAGGGTGTTCAGGGGAGCCCGTGACACATGACTAGTTCCAGGCCAGCGTGGCCCACACATCAAGAGGCTGGAAGGAAAGAAAAAGAACACCCATACTTAGTTTCATTTCTTAATAGTTCCGTGTACTCAGAACTAAAGCCCAGAAATCACTGTTACTTGAGTCTTATGATGTGAAACTTTGTAAAAAGTCTGCTGATTTGTTTCCCACGCTGAAATACATTAGAAGTGGCAGAAAGACTTGCCTGCAGTCAACAACTGCCCCCCTACAGGAGACTGGGGAAACATTGTTAGTCAGGCAGGAAGAGAAAAGTCTTTCTTAAAATGTGTTTGCAGTTTTCCTAGCAAGAGAAAGGGCTTAATGTGTGTGAGGTTAGCTCTATTCTGTGACAAAGAACACACGTCTAGATTCGTTTTTAAAATTTGTTTTTTAACTGGGTGATAGTGACTCAGGCCTTTAATCCCAGCACTTGGAGGCAGAGGCAGGTAGATCTTTGAGTTTGAGGCCAGCCTGGTCTATAGAGGGTTCCAGGACAACCAGGGCTACACAGAGAAACCGTCTTGAAAAAACAAACAAACAAAACCTCAACTAAAATAAAGCTTAGTTTAATAAAGAGAAAGCAAAAGAGCCAGTGAGAAGCTAAGCATGGTGGCACATGCGCATGATCCTATGAAGAAGGCTGAGGCACTGACTGTGGGTTCCAGGTCAGCCTAGACTACACAATGTCTCAAAAAAGCAAATACACAAAAGTTAACTTTAACCAAAAAATATCAAATGGAAAAAAGAAAGTATATTTAACAAGTGGTGCTGGCATAACTGGATATCAACATGTAGAAGAATGAAAATAGACCCATATCTATCACCATGCACAAAACTCAAGTCCAAATGGATCAAAGACCTCAACATAAAACCAACCACACTGAACCTTAGAGAAGAGAAAGTGGGAAGTACACTTGAACACACTGGCACAGGGAACCACTTCCTAAATATAACTCCAGCAGCACAGACACTGAGAGAAACAATTAATAAATGGGACCTCCTAAAACTGAAAGGCTTTGGTAAAGCAAAGGGCACGGTCAACAAGACAAAACGACAGCCTACATACAGAATGGGAAAAGATCTTCACTAACCCCACATCAGACAGAGATCTGATCTCCAAAATATACAAAGAACTCAAGAAATTGGACATCAAAAGATCACATAATCCAATAAAAAAAATGGAGTACAGACCTAAACAGAGAACTCTCAACAGAGGAATCTAAAATGGCTGAAAGACACTTAGGGAAATGTTCAACATCCTTAGTCATCAGAGAAATGCAAATCAAAACAACTCTGAGATTCCATCTTTCACCTGTAAAAATGGCCAAGTCAAAAACACTGATGACAACTTATGCTGGAGAGGTTGTGGGGGAAAGGGAACACTTTTGCATTGCTGGTGGGAATGCAAGCTGGTACAACCCCTTTGGATGTTAGTGTGGCGATTTCTCAGAAAATTAGGAAACAACCTTTCTCAAAACCCAGTAATACCACTTTTGGGTATATATTCAAAAGATGCTCAATCATGCCACAAGGACATATGCTCAATTATGTTCATAGCAGCTTTGTTTGCTATAGCCAGATCCTGGAAACAACCTAAATGCCCCTCGACTGAAGAATGGATAAGGAAAATATGGTACATTTACACAATGGAGTACTACAGAGCAGAAAAAAATAACGACAGCTTGAATTTTGCAGGAAAATGGATGGAGCTAGAAAACATTATTTTGAGTGAGGTAACCCAGACACAGTGAGTATCACATGTACTCACTCATAGATGGTTTTTTTTTCTTTTTTTTTTAAGTTTATTTAATTCTTTTATGTTCATTGGTGTGAAGGTGTCAGATCCCCTATAACTGGATCTTCAGACAGTTGTGAGCTGCCATGTGGGTGCTGGGAATTGAACCCGGGTCCTCTGGAAGAACAATCAGTGCTCTTAACCACAGGGCCATCTCTCCAGCCCTCATAGATGGTTTTTAAACATAAAGCAAAGAAAGCCAGCCTACAAACCACAATTCCAGAGAATTTAGACAACAATCCAGACACTAAGAGAGACTTACATAGATCTAATCTAAAAGGGAAGTAGAAAAAGACAAGATCTCCTGAGCAAATTGGGAGAATGGGGACCTTGGGGGAAGGTTAAAGGGGGGAGGGGAAAGGTAGGGAGGGGAGCAGAGAAAGATGTAGAGCTCAATAAATATCAATGAAAAAATTTCACTTTGGGGAAAAAAAGTTAACTTTAAAGACAAAAAAAGAAGGAAACAAAAGATAAGGTTCTGGCACTGAACACATTTAAAATACAAGCTCCTATTACAGACACTATATGAATACTGTAAGAAAATTATTATTTTAAAATGTTAAGCTAAAATCAATAATTTAAAAATATTTATTTCAGTATGGGTGTGTGTGTATGTGTGTCAGTGAGGTGCCTACTAAGCTGGAGTTACAGACTTTGGTGAGCTAGGATGGAGGTGCTAGGATCTGAACTTGGTTCTACATTGAGAGCGATAAGCACTCTTATCCACTGAGCCATCTCTCCAGCCCATAAAACTACGGATGCATTTATTTATACAAGAGCCAATTCTTTTGAACACTCACATATGAGAAAGCAAGTCCCATGGAAGGGAGGAGGGGATCAAGATACCCTAGGGTCATATTTCTAAGCATTCAATACTCGGTATTTAAAAGATGTCCAAATGCGACTGCACACGACATCTCATCTCTTAAGTCATTACAGATAAAAGCTGAGAACTGCTCAAAAGCGCTCCCCAAACCAGTAATGTTTCTTCAGTCTCATGACACGGGCAATGAGGTGGCTTATTTAATATAAATGGTGTGTTCAGTGACACACCAGTAAGGCAAGAATTCGTTCACCGAGTGATGCAACACCTGGAAGATGAAACAGGAGTGTGGTTTCTACTCCCAAAGCCTCCAGGCCAGGGATGGAACAGCCCAATTACCTAGCAAAAATTCTCTTGAGACAAGCTGATGATGGGTCTGTGACTACAAAAGGTGACAGGGTCAAATTCCCCAGTCTGGGAGTTAGCAGAAAATAGAATTTATAACAAAGTAACAGGCAACCCGCCTAAGAAATATATAATGATCTCGAGAGCCTTGCTACAAAGGCGATATAAAGGCGGACAGGATGACCAATCGTAACTTTAAAACCCATTGAGAGAAATCTTTAAAAATGTAAGTAAAATTCCGTTGGAGTCACTGTCCCTAGACTAGCATTACCCACTTTTGGAGAATCACAAAGCTGTTTTCTTGTTAAAAAGAGTCCCTCGTTAAAGACACTGAAGAAATGGGAGGAGGCACACAGGCAACAATTCTAAAAAAAACTGCAACATTTTACAATAATTTCCGTTCACATTAGGATTGAAAGGATCCATTAGAGTTCAAAAGGAGATCTGAAAGTAAGTTTCCTACTTGCTCAAATGACGTAGTTCTATATAGCAAACGAAACGTTTTTCCGGACACCGAGAAGGAACAAGACACCCTAAAAATGTGACCCTGGGAAAAAGCTCAACCCAAATCGCCCGCTCCAGCGAGGTGGGAGGCACCACCAACCAACTGTTTACTTCCTGCTTGGCTGTCTCCTCTACAAAGCAGGTCAAGAAATCAAAGCGACCCGTTGATAAGTAGACAGAAAACTTTCCTTCTAACCTCAGGGGGCAAGACTACCGAGCAACAACAGCCCCTCTCTCCAAAGAACGCAATAAACAAGTTATCTTTCATCAAGGTGTCAGTTACCTTATCTTAAAAAAAAAAATCACAACTAAAAAAGTGAAAAAGTGTCAACGTGCAACTGTGAGGGAAAGGCAGCCTTCGGGTGAGCATCCGGGCTCTGCTGCACCCTACAAACACTGACTATCAAGATGCATCCGATTTAGAGGCAAGGAGAAGATGGTGCACCGGGATCCCGGGAGTGGATGCAGAGCTCGGGCTTCGGAGAGGACCACGCTCGTGCCTCGGGTGGGAAACTACCCTGATGTGCGGGGCCGGGCATCCCTCCCGATCGCAGCCCTCAATGTCTCTGCCTGCAAACTCGCTCACAGCGTTCCGTGGCCGGCTGCCCGGCTCTGGTCCAGGGGCGGAGCACGGGGTACGGCCGGAGGAACCGAGGCTCGGTCGTCCCCCACACCGCCCCGCCCTACCCCCCGCGGCCCCGCGCCCCAGGCTCACCTTTGATGCCCGCCATGGCGGTGACGTTGCTCCTGGCTCCACGACCCGGGCGGTGGAGACCCGAGACGCGCGACGGCGGTCAGACAACACCCGGAAGTGCACGACGCAGCACTTCCGCCGGCGGCTTGCGCTCGCGCGGGGGCGTGGGGGGCGCGAGGGGCCGGTTCGGGGCCCGCCTTCCTCCGGAGCTGCGGGGCGGGCTGCGAAGTGCGGGGCCGGGTCTGTGGTTCCCATCGGACCCGGGAGGCGGCAGCGTCGGCCCGAAGTCCCCGCGGTCTCGGGAAAGGCGCGTGAGGAGCTCGCGAAGACGCGGGCGATGTCCTTGCGCGATAGCTTCAGGTTCTGCACGGCGAACCCGTTTCTCCCCCGCGCCAGCCAGTCTGTGACTCGGGAAATGGGTGGTCTCTGCCTCTCTCCTTAGGTTCTTATATAGATCGGGGCTCTGACGAGAACCACCCCCTCTTTTGGAGAGTCATGGATGGGGATAGTAAAGATGCATCCTCTTGGGGCTCGCTGTCTTCTTGGTGACAAAAGGGATGGGGGCTGGGGCGTCCCGCAGAGATCCAATATATTTTTGTAATCTTCCCACATATATGTTGGAGAACCGGGTAGGCTTTGGAATGAACAAAACCAGGTTTAGTTTCTGATCTCAGGTTGTTTGCGGACTAAAAGGGGGGAATACTCAATACTCCACAAGAGTAAAAGTTCAACGAAGATAATCGCTCCTAAGAAGAATCTTTACTCCAAATGTAGCACTGTGGCATAAAAGTTATTTTAGCTGAAACCAACAAAAAAGGGCAACAAAAAAATAGGCATCGACTGCTCTCTTTCCTGTACAAAAGCAGAGTAAGATTGATTCTTGTAAAGGTAACAGGAACTTCCCCGTGTTACATAAAAAGATATTTGCAACACAAATTTTCCCATTTGTAAATATTTTCATTTCTGAGGGTGAGACAGCTGTCTCTATAAGCAGCCCCAATTGGAGTCTGCAGAAATGTTACAAAAATAGCCTTTATTAGTTGGTTTCCCTCTGAAAGCTCACACTTCTTTCATCTAACCCGTTCCCCACTATGCATTGCCCTTTCTTAAAATGCAGTATAGACCCCCAGACCTAGCCCATTGGCTTTTCCCTTATTTGAAGCCTTACTAAGCCTGGGAAATACATTTTCCCTTTTAAATCTGCCTTGTGCCTGTTCACTATGCAAATCTCAGCTGTTGAAGCTAATTAAGAAGGCAGAGGAAACCTTTATCCTAGGAATATCTAGGAAATAGGAAAGGGTAGTTCTGTAGTCTGATCTGACAGCTTTCTCTTCATGGAAACACACGGTTGGCTTGTGTGTGTCTTGGGGTGTGTGAAATGGGGAGAGGTAGAAAGGGGAGGAGCCAATGGGTTGGTCAGGGTTGTTATAGGCCCTATCTAGAAACTTCTGGAATTTGTACCTGCATGCACTGAAAGGGAGTCACCCTATAAATTTATTGGGGAGAATTGAAACTGGGAGGCAGGAGCATCTGGGCATATTTAAATCATGTCAGGGAAACCAGGTCCAGGAATTTATGGGACAGAAAAGGTTGTGTATATAACTCTTGCCTGGGTCTCACAAAGCGTTGGCTACTTAGCACTGCGATGATCTGGCTCTATACCAACTTATTGTGGGATACCTGGTGTGGCTGTCAAGGACCAAGAACTTCCTGACTGTTCCCCACTGCTGACCCAACCTACTCCGCTAGCTGCCTATCCAGATGCCTGTTCATTGGTTGGGATCTGGACCTGATCCACTGTTTTCTGCTCTGGATCCAACTGGGCTTGTTCACACTGAAGCTGATTTCTGCAGCTTCTATCTCAAACCCGACCTCTGTCAGCACTGGCCTGGGTCCATGTCTTAGCAATCAGTACAAACTTAGTCCACTCCTGAGCCTCTTCAGCTCTGCTTCAGTCTCTTTAACATGCATTCGTTCTTTAACTCAAACAAGTATAGAGACATGTAAGTGTATGACTATGCAGTATGATATTCGAGTTAATGTTAGTAATTGCGAGTGGAATAAAGAACTTGAACTCATCTAGTACAAGATTCCAAGGTAGGCAGATTATATCGCAAATTACTGCCACTGAAATCACCAAACTTGGGTTGGAGAGATAGTTGAATGATTAAGAGCACTGGCTGCTCTTCCTGAGGACCCAGGTTCAGTTCCCAGAACCTGCATGGTAGCTTACAAATGTCTGTACCTCCAGTTCCAGAAGACCTGACACCCTTACACAGACATACACACAGGCAAAACGCCAATGCATATAAAATAATAAATTAGTCATAAAAAAGAGACCACTAAACTTCATGAATTTATTTTTATTCAATAAATTCTGACATTTCCACATTTTGGAAAGACCCCAAAATGCTCATCTCTGTTTCTGGTGTTGTGTGCTCCAGACATAAAACTGTGAGGAAACCAATGATTCCATTTCAAATGTCCCCACTCCATGTGCTCTCCTTTCGTGCTGTGGTGTTCAGCATCGGAAGCAGGAGTGCTTGCTGGTCAGTGTTGATGGCTGTGGTTGGAAAGTGTTGGGTTCACACGGAAGGCTTGTAGCTCGGCTCTGAGGAAATGCATTTAAAAAGTGCTTTGCGAGGTAGTTTCCAGAAGCTCTTGTGCTTAAGTTGTATTCCCTGGTTTATTTTGAATACAAATGTACCGAGCATTAGATGTCTTTAATGGCATCACAGGGGAAGTCAGAATGCTTACCTGGTCAGTGGGTTCTGCATACTTTTGCTCCCATAGTCACAGTATTAAAGGACTTTGCCCTCCTTTAACTTTCCCTGGGAATTCAGTCTTTGTAGCGAAAATGCAAACAAAACAAAACAAAACACACTACAGTGACCACTTAAAGGTCTATTTGGGTCTCCTGATAATGCCTAAGGAACAAAAATCAACCAATCAACCAACCAACCAAACAAACAAAAACAAACCAACAGGTCACCACTCATCACTCAAGTGACCCCTTTGGTTTCCTGATACTGCCTAGGGTCTGGAAACTTGAAACCTTAAAAATGGTGTTTTCAAATGTTGTATTCAAAGACCAGCTATAACAGAATTCTTCAGATGCGTTTTAAACTCCCAGGTTCTACTTTACATTACCTGAATTAGAAATTTTTGTGGACAAAGCCCAGAAACCTAAGATGTTAAGATGCATCTTGAATGGTTGCCATGCAAACTATGGCTTGAAAATCATTGGGGGAAATCCTTTGGGGAAAGGGAAGAATGGTAGGGACTTAGTGCAGTTTTTCAAGCAAATCCTTTATGTTCCTAGTGTTATATGTTTAAGCTATATCTTTTTAAAAATATTTATTGATTTATTATATATGCAATATTCTGTCTGTATATATGCCTGAAGGCCAGAAGAGGGCACCAGACCTCATTACAGATGGTTATGAGCCACCATGTGGTTGCTGGGAATTGAACTCACAGGACCTTTGGAAGAGCAGGCAATGCTCTTAACCTCTGAGCCATCTCTCCAGCCCTTTAAGCTATATCTTAAAGCATTTCACATAGTAGTGAATCCTCATGACCTTTAATGACTTCCTAACCTCCAAATTGAGCCGTGAGAGGTGGGTAAGAGGAGAGAGTTCTTTAGTGGGCAACTGCTGTGTTTCTAATACTTTAGGATACGTTTGACTGGCACTGGACAAGATGGCTCAGTGGTTAAAGCCCTTGCTGCTCTCGCAAGGGATCTGGTTCACTGTCCGGCACCCACACAGTGCTTATAACCATCTGTAACTCTAGTTGCAAGAGATCAATGCCATCTTCTGGCCTCTGAGAACACGGGGCACACATGGTGCACGAACATATATGCAAGCACTCACACATATTCATAAACAATTCTTTAAAAGAACTAGATCTATGACCCTTTTCATCACTATTAGCTGGGCATTCTAATTCTTATAGACAAAGCACAGAGAAATGTTTAGTTTTTGTTTAAACAACTTTTATAGCCGGGCGGTGATGGCGCACGCCTTTAATCCCAGCACTTGGGAGGCAGAGGCAGGCGGATCTCTGTGAGTTCGAGACCAGCCTGGTCTACAAGAGCTAGTTCCAGGACAGGCTCCAAAACCACAGAGAAACTCTGTCTCGAAAAACCAAAAAAAAAAAAAAAACTTTTATTATGGAAAAATTTAAATACTGCATATGAAAATTACCAACAATAGTATACTGAATTCCTGTATACCATAAGGTACTTTTGATTTCCAACAATGAGTTAATGTTGGTTTATTTAGTCTCCCTACCCATGTCCCCTCCTCCATATAGCTTTTCTTCATTTTATTCTGAAGCACATTCCAGATACTTCATTGGGTGTGTGTGTATGTCAGAGGGATGGTTGAGTTACAGCTGGTGAGTGAGAATCTTCTGTCAGTATGTGGGATTTGAGGCTGGCACCTGAAGTGTGGGGTAGCTGTATATACTTAGCCCTGAACCAATGAGATCTGACCCCATCTCGCAGCAGGTGTATCAGAATGGACACGGCGTTTAGGATAGCAGAGTGGTGTCCAACAGAGAACTGTTTGCTGCGTAGACAAATCTTTCCAGAACACGTTAGGTCACAGAAATGTTCTCCACTGTGACATCACTCCCCCCTGTGACATCACACACCCACATCCCAGAGGATCTTATCTAACAATCCCTTTATTATGACAATACACACCCTTCACATCAGCTGCTTTCTTCTTCAGGCACCCGTTATTTGTTTGGCTCATTTCCCATCAAAATATAAATTAGCACACCCTTCCATGTTGTAATCACAGTCTAGAAGTAGAAATGGCACCTAATGGGGGCTCAGAGAGCAGTTTCCTTGTCAAGGCAATTAGGTGATTCTCCATTGCAAAATCGCAAAGCCACTTTTGCTCTTGCTTCAATTCCCCAACAATCATGACCAGTGTCGACCACTTCCTCTTCCAGCCACCATGCTGCCACTTCCCTTTTCTTGTTTCCGTCCATTGCACCTTTTTATTCTGTCTGTGTGTGAGTGCGTGCGTGCACATGTGTGTATGTGTGTGCAGTGGGTAGGGAGAGGTCTACCATCTAGAGGTCAGAGGACAACTTTATGTGAGTTCTCTTCTTTCACTTTTATGTGGTGACCAAGTTTTCTTCTTTTATGGCTGTGATATCATATCCTGACCCAAAGTAACTTGAGGAGGAAAGAGTTGACTTCATCATCAGGGTTCACAGTTCCTTCATGAGGAAAGTCAGGGTGGGAACTCAGGGCAGGAACCAAAGGCAGGAGCTGAAGCAGAGGCCATGGAGGGACCCTGCTCACTGTTTGTTCTCCATGCCTTGCTCAGGCTGACCCAGAAGCACCTGCTCCAGCTGTGTCTCCGCCCCTGTGAACTGGGTCCTTCCACATCAATTATTAACCAAGAAAATCTTCCTACAGATTTGCCTCCAGACCAATCTGATGAGGTTCC